CGCCGGGGCTTCCTGTGGGAAGTCCCCGCTGCTTTCCGCTTCTCTCCCCCCGCACACGCCGGTGAGGAGAGCGGCCTTCGCTACGCCGCCGGCGGGTGCCGGGACGGGCCACCCCTCAGGGGCTCGGCCCGCCCTCCCCGGGCCCTCGCAGCGGGCTCTCGGCGGCGGTTTCCCCGCCCTACCTCTCGCCGCGGCCGTGAGCCCCAAGGGCAGGGCGCGGTGCAGCGCTCGGCCTCGCCTCAGCGGCCGGGCTGGGCTGCTGCGGGGAGCCGAGGTGGCCGCGGGGCCTTTCTGCCTCCCCCCCGGCCTGCTGCAGCCCCCCTGGCCCTGTAACGTAGTAAAGTGACAAGGTTAAGGGGTCCTTTGCGTTACCGAGGTGTTGCCTGACCCAGTTACAGCCGCCCAGAAGTGAATTTAAGGCTGTGTCCTTACACCTGTGTAATATTCACTCATGTGCCCCGTTCCTGAGACAGGTGCCTTTGGCTGGGTGTGTTGGTGTGAAAAGGCCGATTCCCTGGCAGAAGGAGCCCAGCGAGGTGTTGGTGTGCTTTGGCTGGCCCAGGGTGTTGAGACACCTGTAGTGAACCGCAGGAGTCGTGACCGTGCACCTCGGTCCAGTGCGGCCTGTGGCAGCCTTCTTCATGAGCTGAAGGATGCCGGCCAAGTCCAAGCTCTCGATTTTTGATGGAAACCTGTCCTGGGCCTGGTTCTCCAGGTGCTCCAAACAAATCACTTGTAGAGTCATCAAGTTCTGTTTTGTTGGTTGTGTCACCTAAGCATTGATGGGTTATTAAATTAAAAAAATATTACAAAACTTAGCCACTGCATTTCAGGTGGTAGTTGTTCATCTACAGTGTAGTTTTGCTCCCAGGTACCCTTTGGAAAAAGTCTGGTTGTTACACTGGCTTAATTCAAGCTGTTGAGTGTTCAGTGTATAGCAAAAAGGATGTCTCCAAACATTGAAGTTCATCAGTGTTTTGCTTCCCTAATTATGTCTATAATGACATTATATGTCCCTCCTAATCCATGTTGCAGTTACACGTTAGCTGCGGTAGGACAACATCTCTTTAAATCTGCTACCTTGTTATCCAGTGTCTTTTGCTTACCTCAGCCCTCACCATTAGTCCCTGGTTGTTACAGCTCTGTTGAAAACCTCAGAATGCTAACTAAAAGCAGAGATGTCTAAGTGAGGTTATAGAGAAACTGGAACAATAGCTGCAAGAGGTGTGAGCTGCCCTCTTCGTACCAGCAAGGTGTTAACCCTGGTGCGGTATTTTTTAATGTCATCATTGTTAACTGCTTCTTGGCTCAGATATGAGAAAAAAGAGGGAGAATCACGGTTTAGTTCATTGTTACCATGACTGATGCTTCATTTTATGGTGACAAAAGACACAAATATTCTTATGGCTTTGCCAGGTAGTAGGGAGCGAATATCAAGTACTCTGAAGCTCAGAATATAAAACCTGTAAATTATGTCGTGATTTGTATGGGAGGAGTTTTTTGACAACTGCAGTTTGGGAGAGAACTGTGGCTGTGTCATTAGGCACATAAACTGGTAGATAAATCCACTGACAAAATTTTATGTCACACTATTTTTTTTAATCCCTCTTCTTTGAAGTTGATTTTGGCATGCAGCACTTCCAAAACTCTGTAAGGTGCTGTTTTCAGCAGTAGAGGTCATGGGTTATTGGAAAAGAAAGTTCATTTTCTTTTTTATGTGCACTTGGTTATGGCTGTCATTTTCAGATGGTGATACCTGGATCCCTAGTTAAAGATTCACAAATGTGTAAAGAGAAAAGTAGGATTATTGATAGTAGCTTAGATGCACAATATAGGTTTTGGTACCTGTCGTGGACATTTTTTTGGGTCTTAAGAACAGAAGCATTGAAGACTGATTTCATAATTTTCCTAAGCTACTTAAAATGTCTGTCTCTTACTGTCATGTGGAAATCAAAGTTGTTAAATACAGCAGCAGTGTATCAGTGGAAGGAGAGAACTGGACTTGCAGAATGATTGTGTCTTGTTTCGGAGTGGCATGGGCAGTAAGACAACTAGAGGAATATACTGAAAGGAATGAAATTATAGCTTCAAAAGATAGACAAAATAATGGGAGATAAAGCAATGTTGAATTTAAAGGGCAAAAATACATAAGTAAAATGGAGAACAGTTTCAGCTTTTAATTAGTCTTCTTTTAGATAATATTTGTCATTAAGAACTTAAGTTGCCACTGTCAAGAAGGGAGTTGAATGAGAACAACCTTTTTGATATTCCTAATGTCTTTGACCTGTGTTGGCAAGATGAAGGGAAAAGATAATTGTCATTTCCTGAAGTTACTTGACACCACGTTTTCAAGAACCATTCTGGGAAAGAAACTGAAAAATGAAAGATCTATTGGGACTCTCCAATGAGTTTTGTGATATTGAGTGGTTTGAAAGGATTCTTTAGAGTTTAAAATCCAGAGTGACATCTGCAATCTTTGTGTTAATGTAACCAAAAGACTTTCAGCCTTCTCTTTGTCAGAACACGTCATGCTCTGCAACTTTTGAAAGCACTGGTGTTTTTTGACCATGATAGTTTCTAAGGTCTTAATTCGTTTGTATTATGCTTACTGATTGTTCATTAAATACAGAAATCAAAGGTAGGCATTGTCTTTTAATCCTTACTTTCATTCTTCCTGATTTTTTTTTTGATTTTAAATGGTATTTAGTCCTGTTATTCAAAAGCCTTGCTCTTAATTTGTGTGTGGTGTTCATTATTTGGAGTGCAAGGTGTAAATTGTATCTTGAAAGGAGTGGCCAAAGAGCTAAATAGTCAAGTCCTTGAGGAGTTTGTGCAGATTTTTTTTTAATGAAAATTTTATTTATGATTTAGATTGTTTTTCTTTACGCCTTACCACACAGTTGTGAAAGTTAGCAAAGAGGAGCATGTAGTGCAGTATAATTAATGTTATTGGGCATGGTGGGAAATCTTTGGTGGTTAGCATCTCCTCTCATAATAATTAGGGGGTTTCATTGATTGTTAGATTTTCATGCATCCCTTCATCCAGATGCTGGATACTTTGCTCTTTTTATATAGATTTTACCTGTAACTCATCTCTTGTTTCTGATGCAAATTATTGCATGGTTCTTGAGGTCACTGCTTAGCTCTATTTAATGTAGTCAGTTTGGTTTATATACTTAAGATAGTTTGTGATTTTCATGGGACCTTTCTCTATTTCTTACTTCAGGTGGAAGTAAGCAGTAAATTCGTGGACAACATCCACTATTAGTTAGAAAGGGCATAGAAGAAAGAGGGACTGCATGCTTGGGACCAGTTTCAGACAAGAGGTGCTCAGAAGTTTGGGCTTCATTTAAAATGTGTGGAACCCTATCTGTAGGAATCTAATCATATCTATGCTGTTACTATATTTTTGCCGTCCCAGAAAAGTAACTGAAATGTGTATTTGCTTGCTGAAATATTGCTGCATGTCCCTTGTTTAAGGGACAAAAAATTGTATTGAGTATTTTACATCAATTACCAAGTGAAGCATTCAGAAACTTTACAATGATGGAATTAAGGCAGGCTGTGCTATTTTAGTCCTTGGCCAGACCATGGCCCTGGTTGTTTGCTGGAATCCTCATGTGCGGTTTGCAGAAGGGATCTGAGGTGAGGTGGGGTGTTCCCTTTATAGGTAGCTCACACCCTAAGTTTTCCTAACTGGCAGGTCTGTCGTACTTGAGCAATAGTTCAGGCTAGGTGTTAATGAATCTGCATTATTTTCAGTAGTAAATATTAAGCCCTGATCTGTAATTAATTTTCGGGCCCTGTAACTGGCTTTGCAGTGTGATCAAAAGTGTAAAAAAATCTCCTTGTGTCAAAAATCTTCACAAGCAAGTTCAGGCTTGGCTTTACTTATTACTCACTAGATGTATGAACATTTGCAATCCGCATGTAATTAACGAATAAGTGTGCTTTGTCAGGTCTGCTTCTCCTTTTCTTTCTAGATATTACAGACTTGCTGTAATATAGCTATTGTTCATTTTTAGCAAACAGGATTGTCAGTATTCTCGTAATCCAGTACTGCCATATTGCAGGAACACGAGCCCCAAAGCAAAATGTAAGATAACAAATTCAGCCAGTGAAAAAGGTGAAAATTGACTTTGAGGTGATGATAGAATGGTGAGAAGTTAAAGCTTTGGAAATTTTCCCTGCTATTGTCATCCCTGTACTTCATCTTAATTTAAAATGATGTCAGTATTAGATAGAAAGATCTCAAAATTGGTAACTTTTAAAATACAAGTAAATCTATTCATATGCACTTAAAAAACAAAGGTTTCTACTTAGAGAAGCTGCACTGATCTGGGTTTCGGGATGTGTTGTATGTTGTTTCACTTGGATTATAACACTCCTGTCACTTCATGTCCTTCTATACTTTTAAACTTTAGCGGAGAGCAAAGTGCTTAAGACTGTAGTTTGTATGCAAACATGTATACGCAAATGAAATTACCAAATTCAGCAGCATTTCATGTATGCCTAAAGGTGTTTGGTCCTGGTCCATTAGCAGTCGGTTTACGCTGGATGTTTTTGGTTGATAAAATAAACTTGTAAGGGGCCCGTGAATGTTTTTTGTGGAAGGGAGGTTACAAAGCAGTACGCTGAAACTATTTGTTACTTTGACCCCATTGACCCTCTTGGCAGTAAGGGCACAGGAGCCCCCTCACAGGCTGCAGGATTGGGTATTTAAATTATTAATTACATTGATACATAAAACTACAATCGTAGGGAAAAAAACTTAGACCCGCTGAAGTCATGGAGGAAAAAAACATGTTTCTAAAATCTATCTCTAAACTATTTATTCTGATGTGTGACTTAGTGTTTTAGAATAGAGACTT